GGATTTTCAGCAACCCTATGAGTAGTACATTACAAAGGTGTACATGTATCGCGATATCTCGAATATCGTAGCGGCTGTAACATGAGGCGGCCTGGTGCAGCACATTCAGTTGCCTGTGAACATCACAAACGAGAGATTCAGCTGGGTTCCAGGTGAGTCTGTCGAAAGACCAAATTAGCTTGCAAATGTGTGTATATTCGCGAAAGGCATGTTTTATTTGCTATGGACTGCAAAACGTCGGTAGATGCTGACGAATAAAGGCAAAGGTAGATAGAAACTAATTATATCAGTTTCCTCTCTGGAGAGTCCACCTCGAGGGTTCAGGCAAAAGTGGCCGCTTCTGGTGGAATCAGTTTACGCGGTCAATCTATGGGAGTTTTATGGGGTTAGCTCGCGTTCTTCAAGTCCCCTAATTTTGAGCAGCTGTAGAAAAACGGCAGTACTGAAAGACGACGGGGTGGAAGAAATGTATCCACTGCTACATTGTATTGTTTCGATGGTATGCTGTGCTTTTACCCGACACTAGAGTCCCCCCTACTGCAATTTTACTATGTGAAGCAAGAACTAGTGAGAACTAAACGTAGGAAACTACATGGTTTCTGGTATCATGCAGTTTCTTATTACCGGACGCATGGGTCCATTCAGATGTACACGTAAACTATCGCAGTTTTCCGTACCAATCGGAATGCCTCTAGGTGTTTTTTAAGACATGCGGAAGAAGTAACGACTGCGGGCGCTGACGTTTCGAATAAGGCCCAGCAGTCGCTGCCGTATCAGAATGAGATATTCTGTTGGTAAGAACATCTAGAACGAACAGAAAATCAAGGGAATATTTCCACACTCTCGCTACTAGGCTGCATCATTTGTGCTTTCCGGACTGCCCCGGATGTCCAGCTTTGACTGCGTCTCGGTTTCACCATTGACTAAACCCACAGTATTTATAATCTGGCCTGATATCCTCTTGAGACTCTGACACAGTTAACTGAATCGTCGTGGTCTAGAATTGAATGTCAAGATTACGGAGTAAACACGGCAAATTCTCGGACTACGTGACTTCCAGGCTTTCCACTCATTGGTGAGTGATTGATGCGGAGTTCTTACTTTATTTTTTTCAGTGATGAGTCCACTCAGGTCCCGGATCGCAGCCCAGAACAGTGACAGTTTCGTCGGTGGCTTTTGCGGAGCTTGACTGAACGACTGGCCGGCGAAGTTGACTCACTATGTCCAGCTTCTCCGTAATGTGAGTTTTAAGTACCGGGTCATTGGAACCACCTGGGATCAAAAACCTGGCGATTTTCTTCCATTTAAGGCCACTGCCTGCGACTACAGTCAGGACCGGACGCACGGATTCACGCCCCTAAACAAAGCAAGGGGTGTTCTCTATTGCTTCGTTAAAACTCTTGAAGCGAACCGAATGAAGGTGCCCTCACAGCGTTTTCATCGTGCATTCTATTGCGGTTCTTGCGCGATCCATGTTGAGAATCACAGTGGGTCCAAATTAATGGAATGCGAGTGCTTTACTGATCAAACTTGTAACCTACAATGATGGAGGTCGGTCTGGGGAGGAGAATTTAGGTCTTCTTGATGTTGATTGTAACCCAATTTGGATAAAAAAGCAGTTATTGTAGTCATCTCCGTAGACGATCAGCGTGCCTAGGGTTGACTTTTCGATTGTTTGTCAAGTCGAACTCCAGGGTAGTTAAGTAGTTGACAATGTGTCGGAGCAGTGCTAGTTCGGATGCACTGTTTGACTGTTGATCAGTTCGCCGAGCTTGGTGATTAGTTTTCAACTGGTTAATCGAGGAAGTACTAACGGTGCGTGCAATCAATATATTTCCTTGGTTGGTGGAAAAACAGTAGGCCAGATGCCAAACTCGAGCAGATCAATAGCCATCTGAACAACCGGTGATCTGGTCTCACCTCGTGCGTACTTGGTTTAATGATAAAATTGTACAGTACTGGATATCGTGACCATTCGTACGGGATCGTGGTGTTTACATCCATTCATACTAGTGTTGGTGTGAACGGAGATCACCGTATTGGGCTGATAAGCTTGACTGGAAAGCCACTCCCAACTTTAGATTTCCACAAACGTGTTGGATCGAAGAAGTATAGTGGAGCGCAGAAGTACAGGTAACAGACAGTTGTGAGCTGTTGTTATCCTTCTTTTACCTTGAGTAGTTACCTAGTAAAATGGCGCAGTTGTGACCTCGGACTTTCGACCTGGGCTTTTGAGGGTTTCGTTGCTGCACTTCGGTGCCTGAAACCACTCCACGTGTGTTGCGCCTGAAGGTCACTGAGGATTGGTTTGGCCCTGGAAGTGCCAGATAGTCGCCGAGATCTGCTTCCAGTCCGTTGAAAATGAGTTCAATGGGCATGGATGGATTGCGGATTATGTATCTGTAAGCTTCCGTATCTTCGTGAGCGTTGAACGTGTTGGACACTCGAGTGGCTTGCACAGCGATTCAACATTTCGGACGTCGTGATACAACTAAATGGGAGCCTCCGAATTCGGCCATTTATCATGGTTGCTGGGACAGCTTATATGGTTTCCAAATGTTTAAAAGAGAATAGTCTGAGATAAGCTTCGAGGGTGGCTTCGGTCGAATGAAAGCTGTGATTCTAACCAATCTGGCCGCCAGTTTCTGTCCTATATAGGACAGCTTTCACCGCCTGACTTCCACCTTGGCCGGGTTTCGGAATGGCTTTGGTCTCACACAATTACTGTGTTAATGAGTGTTCAGGTGGGGTTTAGTTGGCACGATATTCGAGATATCGCGATACATGTATAGGCGTAATATACTACTCGTAAGGCTTGGGTTCCAGGTGAGTCTCCGGCAAAACGAAATCGGTTTGCAAATGAGCTAATTTCACTAGATAAACTTGTTAAGACCTCTGATGATATATCAGTCTGACTCGTCAGTTCACTGGAGTGGAGAAGACAAACAACTGCGAGGAAACTAGACTGCAAACAAGTGGATCGTCCCGTAATGTGGTCTACATCTGAACCGGAATATAAAGAGCTAACAGTTCAATAGAATGTCAGTGAGAAGCTGAAGTGTAGAAACAAGGCTTCAGTATGCGAGAAAAATCGTTAGCAAAGTGGGTTCGTTCGTCTGGAGGCGGTCCCTTTAACGAAACTCAAGCATGCACGGACGTAGTACTAACCCAGGCGCGCACTGATGCTGTTATGTAGATTTGTGACAAATCACCTGTAATCTAATTACCAAGCTTGACGAGCAGATCACAGCAGCCAGCTGATCAGCTTTCACTTTGTTTAAGATTTCAAATAATCACTTGAACTGGCGTGCAAAGACCCAGTGGTAATCAAACTTTGGTGTTTCCAGGGATCGTATTGCTCATATTATATCCGATGGTGAAAACAATAGCTCCGTATCATTCTACTGAGAAAGGGTTTATGACATTCATGTTGGAAACAAGTGTACTTAACGCAAACCAAGAGAGGTTAATGTGAGCATCCCCCATACACATACGGAATACGAGTTGATAGGTGGCTCTTAGTCTAATTACTACCGAGGACAGTAAGTCACTGAGACGGCGTGGATGCAGTCATTTTGAGGAGCAATGTTTTATTCACGCCGCTGTTCAGGCATGTAATCGATGCACAAACATGAAAGCCCACAGTGCGTGAGGCTTGTGTTCTAGTTCCCTTTGTGATGGCGTTTTCTCCACGAGGATATTAAGAATGGTCCTTGTTCGAAAGTTGAGAGTTGGTCCTTCAGGAGGTATAGGTCTAAAAGCAAATCTGGTGCGAGTGAAATTTTCTCCATTGGCATTAGTCTCCCATGAGGGATTGCTGTACGATAGCTGTCTTCGATATCTATAGTTAACGGGCACACCGGTCATTACTGTGGTGTAACGGTTTGTAACTCCGTGACCATACTGGATGGTGTCCATGCCATGCCCACAGAGTCTTCCATAACAGGGTGTTCAATGATTAAAGGTCTGAGCAACATGGTCTTCTGTCCCTCCGGCTTGGTGGTTGGAACCTATTTGGCGACTCGTTCCACAAGAATGTACTTACATTTTCCGCCCAGCACCGCTTCCTTGTGGTCAGGTTTTTGAACCAAAGGCATGGATCGAGGACCATAATCGTCATGACAGTATCCCATCCAGCGTAGAACCATGACTAGCACAACCACGCATCGTCTCATGTCTCATTGGTCATCGTGTGGTGCCATTAGCCCGGTCGCGTTACTTGCGGCATAGAGCAGAGCAGGTTAGCAAAAACATGGTACTCTTACGTCCTCTTAAGTTCATACGCATTCCCTCTTCCACTCTACACCACCCTACTCCAACTCGAATACTCTGTCCACAGCTCCCAGCGCTAGGACTAACCGCCTTGGTTGCCATGCCTTGCACTCAGGTGCAACGTGTGTGCGTCTGGCCTAAACACTTCGAAGTCTGTTTTGAAATCCCAAAAGCCTGTTTACTTATCCGCGTTTAATTTTCGCACACAAAAGCAAGCAGAACAGCAGATAGCTCTTGCCTGTAGGTTGGAATCCCTGTGCATTGATTTATGTTGTCTGTCAGAAGCTAGGATGCAGGAAACAAGTGCTGTGATCGAACCGACTGTTCCCGCGCTCTCTTCCATGTTTTGACTGTGCACTTCTGGTGATGCATAGGCCGCCGCAGCTGGATATGCTGGGGTGGGTGTTGTATCGATACCTGGACACCTGCTGATAGTGCTGTCTTCATGGTTCGTTCGGCAATGTTTGTGATAGAATCTAGAGGAAGTGAAGT